GAAGCATAATATTGCCCCTTTAATGTTTTTATTTATTTACATGTAACATTTTTAATAAAACATTGAACTTTGTAAAGTTATACCTCCAGTGAAATGTTCCAACTGAAAAGATCACACAAACGTACGTCATTCAGACTAGACTGTATTATTTCACGGCCGTTTTATACAGCCTGTATTAATGGCCTATGTGGGTTGCAACCCCTGAATTGAGACAACTCAAAAGGTGACCAGTTAGATATCCATTCAGCGATTACTTTCAGAGTTTCATTAAAAGCTGTGCAGTGGTTCATGTGTTTTTAATAAAAGAAAAAAAAAATGAACATACGCTCACACACAGTAATTGCAAAATACATGACCAGTTGCTTTTCCTAGTAGTGAGGGATAGTATTTTTTTTTTATTTTTTAAAGATGAATTCTAAATATTGTATTACACTCTGCTTCTAGTGAGTTTTTTTAGCTCTCTACAAAGGCTGCCACTTCACATAACCTCTGCAGTTTTCTCGGCGACTCAGAGTGAGTGCGTTCAGCCCTCCAGTCCCCTGAGACGACCGGAGGGGGGAAAAGAAAAGCAGACACAACCCAGAGTCTGAAGGGACGCCACAGAGACACGCTGTGCCAGGGGATCTGCGTGAGTATCATAATGACTGTGTTTCAAAGAAGATACTGCCTCTCCAACCACAGCCATGYAGAGCTTTTGATCTCCCTCTCTCCTCTCTCTGCCCACCTTTTTCTGACTCTCACTCTGTTCTCTTTAAAAAAAATCTAATTAAGTGGAAAGATAGAGATGATGAGTACAGAGTTGTCCACCTCCCTTCCATAAAGAACGGTAGGCTATGCGCCTCATTTAAAAGGCTTCACCTTTGCGATCGAAATATAAAAATCAATATGCTCTTTTGCTTTGACATCCAAAGGGCAAGTGTGTATATACACTAACAGTCCTGCCTATTGATCAGATAGTTGAATCATATTATATAATGTAAATGAGCAGAGTTCTTCCAAGAAATAAAGGTGAATTTTGTGTAATTTGTGTTATCAAACCAATCAGAAACAACACGTGTTAGAAATCGTACAGTGCAAATCCTCTCAAGACTTATACAACTTCTTGGTTACTTTTTGTGAACTATACACAATATCCTACATATCAAGCCAATTTTTGTTTATTTTATTAGTTCAACTTTTGAGTAAAAGTGATGAACATTCAACATCCATCATCTTAGCTGTTGTAGAAAGCCCTTTAAAACAACCTTGAATTATTGAAAAAGGGTCAAATTGTGAACAAAYTGATGCTAGTTTGGATGGTGTTAAGACTAAAGTGGATTGTTCCCATTTTACACCATCTTAAACAACGCTAAACTAGATTATAACTTTTGAACTTTCTAACTAACTTCATCAAACATTTTTTAATAAATTGTTATCATTTTTAATTTCACATTACATTATTATTGTGAACACTCCTTCTGCATGCATGGCTTTTTCTCTGGGTTCATACAATCAAAGAATGTTAGGTCAATTAGTAACTCTTTAAATATGATTGTATTTAAATGTGAGGCAAAAGTTCCGAACTAGCAAAACGTATTTATTATAACAAAGAGAAGAGCTGACAAGGCAGCTGAAAAAAGTCTATCCAAAAATTTACAAAAACACAAGGCGCTCACGGCTGGGGTACACAGCACAATAAACCCACAAAGAACAGAGGACAAAAGGCTGAACACAAAGACAAACTAATGAGAGGTAAAGGAGAAAAGACAAACTAATGAGAGGTAAAGGAGAAACACCTGGAGAAAACATGTGAGGAACAGGTGAGTGTGGGCGGGGCTGGAGCTGACATTCAGGGCAGAATGAAAAAAYGCAGGGATTCACATAGAAATACTAAACAGAATATACATGACAAGATCTTTGCCAGATCTTTATGGTGTGTAATAGAATATATATAGGTTTGTTCTGATAAATTTTCAACATACTCATTTTAGGATTTTTATTTCAGCTGTACAGGTACAGGTGGTCTGTGTAAGATATTATATCACATGTTCGTTTACCTTATAATGTGTTTATAACCAGACAGAAATACAACAATGCATGAATGTTTGAAGGTGACAAGAATTCATATAACCATCAATGCTGGGCTAGCCTGGTAAAAACCAGACCCGTCCTTCACTTTGCTTCGTGCAAGGGTCTGGAGTCACGGCTATAGAGAAGTGATTCTTGCTGGAGGCGTGGCCTCTGCTAAAGTGCCGCTGTGAAGGAGGCTAAGCTAAGAAGCTAACTGGGTTGTTTACAGCATGTGCTGTAAACAACCCTACTGGGAGGAGAAAAGTACCGAGCCAAACGAGACAGCTGTAAATGAGAGCTGCTGCTTTGTCAGACAAATTTATTTTAATTTGGATGCCTTGTCAACACGGACTGGCTTCATTCATTTCATTCACTTCCTCCACTACCATTGCTAACTAACTAGCAGACACTGCGCAGAAAATCAACGTCGTTCAAAACTCCACCTTCTGYTYKYTGATTGGCCCAGGTAAAATAAACTACAAGCAGACACTGCACAGAAACTCGATGTTCTGTTCTCTGACTGGTTTGGCTAAAAATCTGCCAGCAAAATCCTTGTCTATGGGAGAAGTCCCAGACAGAGCAGTAAAGGGAAACTAGAATTGAGCGGAACTGCGTAGGAAGGCAAGGGCCAGGCTAGCGCTGGGCTGAAGACTATGGGCTCAGATTTTAGTCTAATCTAATTTGTACTTGTAAATCTGACTTTGTATTTGTAGATTAAGATTTGTAACTTTTGGATTTGTAAATAGGAATGTGTCTGTGTAAAATAGATTTGTATCTGTAAAAATAAAATTTGTATCTGTAAAAATAAGAC